TCCTCTCATACCTTGATATGAGAAACAAAAACCTTTCTCCGGGCAAGTGGTAACGAGTTCTTTTCTCGAAAGCATAGATGGTAAAAGTGAAGAAAGATCCAGGATGCTCGTGTGGCTCCGAAGCTAGCAAGATGTTGAAGACTTACTGAAGTTGAGGGGCAAGGAATGAAAAATTTCTGGCGGTTCGTCTGCCAGAGGAAATACTTAACGGAGGGTTCGCCTGTCACTGCCATCATCCAAATGGTCAGATCCATGGACCAAAAAAACTCGAAAAAATTTTTTTCGCTGAAACCTCTTAAATAGGGGTAATCAATGGCCCTGATCACGATTCTGACAATTATTTATGGCGCCGACGTGATCTGGGGCCAGCGTGGCGCTAAAAGGCCACTGCGAGCGCGAAGGGATGCTGCATAATAAGCCCTTAAAAGAAATTGCAGTGTACCTCACTGTATGCCAAGTAAGGCACTTGTATTTCGACCTTATTCAATGTTCTTTTTCATGTCTAGTTGAGAAACACTTTATAAACTCTATGTATTCTGCTTTACAGCTGAAACAGATGCGAATGAGATGATAAAACTTGCGTTTTAAGCGATTTGTTTTTATTCCTTTTTTGACATTCCCAATAGCGTTTAGCAAAAATGAAACCCATCTGTGTGGTCCTTGTATGGACCCCTACAACATGCAACAAATCGTTTTGAAAAAGCTCACCACGGCCTGAAGCGACCTCCTTGTAAGATCACCTACAAATGTCCCCTACGCAAGAGCGCTCAGCTGCTGTTTGGTGTAGCGGCAGGAATAAATCCGAATTAAAAAATCTGCTCTTTTTTATTACTTTTTTCATTAGAACATATGAGACGCTTTCAATTCGCCAATGATGTAAGCGCATTACTTCGTAAATAAGAGCCGCAATTTCTGGCATAAGACGCAATTCAAAGGTATGTTGCCTACACAAAATTTTCGTTCTAACAATCGCGCGTTTTCGTTGTTTTTTGACTGTTGGATGTCAGCTTGGCGCTGAATCACGCGAAGAAACAGTAAGTGAGCCAAAGGAGGCACGATATAGCTTTGTTGACATGAAATGAGCAGGTCCGGGAAGATTGCAGAGTGAGGCCGCCAGGGTTCTTATTAAGGTGTCCGGGAAGTTTTGAGAACATTCGGTCATTTTCTTGCAACTCATTTAAAGAAACAGCGCCCGCGATGGACTTTGGCAGGTCTCAGGGGTCAAATTTGTTAGAACAGGTGGCCAATGAAGCACTAATCAAAAAAAGTAGGAAAAAGGTGTGGAAGAGCGTGAAATAAGACCCTACGAAATTTTAGGGGCATGTGACGAGTCGCAGACCTTTGGTGAGTTCTCCAATACACGTCGCGGCCTCGGAACTCCAGAAACTTAGCGTTTATCAATGCCAGCAAGCACTGATAACTGTTAACCAGTCGGGGCGGGATTAACAGGGAAGGAGGCGTCAGCTCAGCCTTGTTGACTCCGCCCTCGTCAATCAATACAATACATTTCGAGCCGCAAGAGTGGGATATCCGCTATGGTTGCGAACTCCGCGTTCGTTTTCATTGGAGGGTTTTTTCACTTTGGTTGATCGCGGACGCTGCTAACAACCAACAAAGAGCGAAAAATCAGTAATCAAGATAGTGGCCCTTCTTAGCCAAGACGTCTCTCCACTGATTGGACAGATCATCGATACTTCCTTCCAGAAGGAAGCAGGCCGGGACGCAATCCATTCATCGACCATACGCTTGACATCCTGATGGTTGTTGAACATCTTACCCGTAGCGTAAGCCTGGAGATCCTGAAGGGATGGTCATCACAAGGGCTAAAATCAGGAGAATACGGAGGATGGGGCAGTCACTCAATTTCCTAAATTCTATATGCTCGTCCCTAGCGCCTCCCAGAACAACACTAAGCTATCAGTCCATGGTTAGCAAAGCATCGAATAAAGGACCAGAATGAGGCCGTATGCATCCTTGAAGACAGACGCCGCCAACTAATTTCGTAAACAATCCTCCTTGCCCAAACGGTCGCAATGTGTAGCGCGGTCAGTACTTCGCGACGACAGCGCTTCGGTCGCGCGTTTGAGGCGATCGATGCGCATGCTTTCAAGTGCATTGATCGCGTCGAGCGCGTGACCGAAGCGCTTCGTCGGCGCAAGTTCTGAACGCTCTATGCGCGCATTGTCATTGTCCCACTTTCGCGGCTTTCGAAGGCAGTGGGCACCATCGCTCTGAGTGGGTGGTTGTTGCCAACGTCACTGGTGGAAAAGATGATGGAGAAATAGAAAGACCTCTGTAAAACAAGACATGTCATGAAAATGAGCTTTTCAACCTTTCACCTTGCGCTATCTCCTCCGCCGTTCCGTGTTCCATAGCGCTATGCAACAAACAGTGGAAAGTACGCGTGAGCGACTTCACTCGTCCTAAGCGTCTCAATTGTTCCAACTCTGCCAGGGCTGCAGCAATGCCGTTCCTGAAAGGCCGTATTATAAGCCCATTGAGAAAGTAATTAGAATAAACAGAGCGAGTAATGTCCCTTGACTTGCAGAAAATCTTTCGTGTCATAAGCATTATAGTACCAAACGAATATAACTGACATTCTTTGCATTTCTCTTCTCTTCTCATAATTTTCTTTCTTATAGCCACTCTTTATTTCGAAAAAATGATTGAATGTTCTCGAAGTATGGCCAAAGGTAGTCTCGAGCAAGCTTTTTTTTGAGCTGAAGCTTGGTCGTAAACATGAGCACCGCCGCCGCCGCCGGGAATATTATCAGGAATACGAACCGACCCGATTCCTCCTCTACACAGTCCCCGCTATATACCTCATTCCAAACATTTCCCAGATTCCTTTCCCGAAATTTCCCTAAAATTTTCCGCTCCTCTCTTCTAAAATCCAAAAGTTTTCCCATGAACGCGGGAGAAGGTCGTCCTCAACCAACTACTAGTTTCACCTATTGAAAACAGTAGTTTAAGAACCCCCGTTTCCGCCCTCTCACAACGATGAGCAAATACGACCTTCTCATTGGAATTCTCGCGACGATGTGAAGGACGCCCGTGGAACAGGGAAAATCAAATTTCAAAAAAATTTTCTCAGATCAAATACGATCCCCCTCCTGCTACTATACACGACCTCTCGTTGGGAATTCCCCATCGCGGGCGTGCCGTGCCCAGTTTTACGGAGAAAAACTGGTCAAAGGGAACCTTTGAAGGTATGCAGTGAGCCATGAGATTGATCACACAGTATTTCTAGCTCATTTGAAACCAACTGGAAAGGTGAAAAAGCTGGAGCAGCAGCAGATCTCGCAAGAATCAAGCGAGCGCGGGTGTTGCCACATCTGACAGAGGATGTTTCTCGGTAGCAACACGGAACTGCCTGATCACGACAGGGCTCTGCCACGCTCCCCAGTCTCCTTTCAGCTTGTAGTCTCCACCTTTGTGATCTCATTTCCTCAGTGCTTGACACCGGTTGGCATCTCCCTCATCCTCGCTCGTGCACTTTCTCGCCACATCATCCTCTGTTCCTCTTTGCCCAGTCTCTCTTCGTAACATGCCATATAGTGCTTACAATTAGAGACGGACCCCGCGCTCAACCAGTTCATAGGAGTCCTTTCTTTCCCAAGTAGTCCGCTACAAGCTATCTAGAAATTGGATCTCTTATCTCAAAAATTGCACCATCTTCGGGACGAAAGCGACGAGTCCCATTTATGTACGGTACTTTGAGTCGCCTCGCCCATGGGAAACGAGATATGTTGCGGTGGTGTCTGTGAGCACAGCCATGGTCCTGTTACGAAACCTGTGACGCAGACGGATAGAGGGCAGCGGCTACCAAGGCATCGAAACGTTCAAAAAACGTCTGGAGTGAGCGAAGTCACAACGGCCATAGAGTGCCATGCAGACAGTGCAGAGAAAAAGAGAAGATCGACGCGTTCAAAGGGATTGAGTTCAAGTTGTCCGTAGACCGAGCACAGCCCCATATTTCGTCTGGAACCGACGTGGAGCTTCCGTCGCTTTCCAGATAAACCTTCTGTGCAGCATGCAAGGCATTTACTTTTATGCGATGTTTTTTTTGTAGGAGCACGCGCTGTGAAAAGCAACCCATTTCATAAGGTAGTATGGGTTTTTATAAGGACCGCTGCTTCAATTCGTGAGTGATACAAAATTACCGGTGCTATTGTTCGTTGACTTACGGTAGTCACAGTTTCCCACCAGAAGTTCCCGCAGTTGGTTCATGCTGCAGTCATTAATTCCGTCCTATTTCCTTGTTTTTTTTGTGAAGTGTTGTAGGCTTTCTGGTGCTGGAGGACGGAAACGATTGCGAGCTAGGGATGCATAGAGGCGACGGCAGCATCTGTTTGACATTCGAGGGGTCTTGCAAGAGGTATTTGGTACCTTCTCAACGGTTGCTTCTGTTTTTCCCTCAACTTTTGCGTTACTTAGTACCTTGACACTCTCATTTGAACACCGCTACCGTACCCAAGAATGGCAGTTGTGGGCTCTCTATTGAGCCAATTCGACTACGGTTGTGTAAGCAAAATGATTCGCTAGAATATGATAACTGATATGCTATCAAAGCTATTTAAACAACTGCCCCTCATTGGAGAATTCACTTTGCTTACAGACCGGTGACTAACCAGTTCCCTACTCGAAGTCTCTCACACAACTCTTAGCCCCTGACTCGTGCAACTCTTCACTACAACCGGAATGAAACTCGCAAAGTCGAAGAAAAAGAGATCAAAATCAAAAGAATTTGGATCGAAAGAACAGGTAAGATACATTCCTATTAGATCTTCTCAATAACGCCAGTTTCTTCAGGAAATCCTAGCCGAATTCAAGGGTTACAAACGACCTCAGGGGATGACAGAATCGGTAAGAAGGCGCTTTCAACCTTTAGCCGTCACCCAAGATCTATGCGAACTGCAGATGGCCCGAACACTGGAACAGATCATACTGAAAATTTTCACAAGTTCTCCCACGACTTCACATGAGAAACTACTAAACTTTCAAGAAATGAGAGAACTGTGCTTGCGAATGAGGGAGCTGCTTCTGCTTGAGCCTTGTTTCGTGGAGTAGGTCTACGTTAATCCTTTAGCTGTTCCAGAACCACGTCAAAACTTTCCAGAGTTTCACCACCGCTGTTCATCATTGGAGATGTTCACGGGCAACTGTACGACTTGCTGGATATACTGAATTATGTCAGTTCGTATACCATTCTTTCTAGCTCTTGAAGGCAAAGCCCGCGATCAGATATTCTGGGTAGTGGTGCTGAACTAGCGATGCCAAGATGCCAACAAAGTCAATAGTGCAGAAAAAACAGAAAAAAATGGTCGCAAATGCCCCAATAAAACCCCTCTGCGAGCACACTTGTACGAGCAGAGGAAGAGCAAAGAGAGTGATCGGACGAGATCACCGGGCGAGTGCTGTTGTGGTCGATGTGGTTGCGCCATTGATCACAGCTGATTTCCTGTTGCCAATAATGTCTCTGCCGATGTTCTTTAGCAGGTCTTCTATCATTATGGATAGCAGAGCGGCGGGCGGGGTCAATGAAAATGGGTCGGGCCAATGAGAGGAACGACAATGTCTCCGCCTTCCTCCCTCACCTTTGCAATGCAAAAATGGTGCAGTCGCTGCCTCTGCGGACCTGTCTACCTGCTCACGAAGGGAGAGGAAAATGTCAGCTGATCGCGGGCACTGCCTTTGAAGGCACGTCAAGCGGCTTCGGTGCGCTGTTACCTCCTTAAGACAAGTACGTCTTGTTCGCTGCAGAGGCTGAGGCGTTTCAAGGCCTTGGTTCGGCGCAAACGTGTTCTCCACCTATTGTAGTCGCCTTCCAGCCTCCACAGTTGGTGGAGAACAGACTGGCGCAGCGCCAAACTCGACTTCCCTGAAACGCCACATCGCCCGCATAAACAAATAGTTCGTGATAATGACCCATCCGATCGTGGTGAAGGCAATGACGTGCCCGCTGCTGCCCACATACCATGACAAAGACGCGCCATTTCAAGTGCTGCCTTGATGGTACGGTTGTTTCTCTACTAGCTCTTCCCATTCTGAATGGTGAGAGCGAGGTGATAATGGGAAAAGTTGGTCCTGTGATATCAAAAGCGAGATTTCGTTCAACAGGGGTATGTGGCAAGAGGATCGTAATTAGCCGCGCCAGTGCTCGTCGCGTGCACGAGAATAGACAGGGGTGACCATAAACAGAAATACAGTCCTCATCATTACGTACTGTCGGGAGCGGTTCAGTGCGGCTGCGTTTGGCGCGGTGCCAAACCCGCTCCCCACCAGTATTTAAAGCGAGCAAATGTTATGACTGTATTATATCCTCCGTATTACTCGTTTTTCATAGCAGCTTGTTGTGTATGTAACACGCGTTTTCAACGAAAAGTGCTGAGAAGGCGGTTCACAAGTGTGCACACTTCATACTTGGCTGACACGCGCCGCACCGGTCCGCATCATGAGGACTGTAAGGTGTCGTACCGTAGCCCTTGTCTAGCATGAATCCGATGCTACGCAGTGGAGAAGGGTGGTGGCAAATCAAGGAGGACGTCGGCACCCATGACTCGGCGCGCGAACGAAGACGGCCAATCTGTGATTCTCTTGCCCTTCTACCGCCCACTTGTCACTCGTTTAAGCTCAATTCTGCACAGCTCAGTCCTACATAAGATCTTCCTAAAGGTTCTTCTTCTTTTTCGAACGTCGAAAACCTGCGAAAAGCCTTCGTCTGCACTATAATGGGCGAATATTTAGTTGACAGAAAGCAACTTTCGAATGCTAGATACTGCTGCATGAATGTTTCCAAATATCTACACAGCAGAGCAGCCGCTTCATATCAATTCTACTTTGCAGATGAAGCGACAAGAGTATCATCAGCGATGTGGTTGTGCGACCATTTGTGGGCGGGCGGTTGCAGTGGGCGTCTGACTCGGCATGTTGGATCTTGGTTAGGCGCTATAATGGCACCCTTGGCTGGAAAAGAAATGAAAAATAAAGGAGACTGGTTGGAAAAAGCGCAATGAAGCGCTTGCTTAGGGACACAATATTCTTTTGTGCTAGGCGTATTTAGCTTACACGCCTTGTCGACTTATCGCGCCACATGCCCTCAAACCTCATCGTGCCAGACAATCAGTGAAATCAGCAGTGCTCGATCCATGACCGGCACGAGGGACCGAGTGATTGATAAAGTAGTCGCTCGCACTCTAAGTGGCTAGTTCGAACCCTGCCAAGGCACAAATCATATCATGCAAAAGCTGCAAATTCGGTGACCAGACCAGGTTTACGGGCCGGCTGATGGAGAGCCCCGCACCGTGAAAATGAGTCAGTACAGTCCCCGTGCAGACAGGACTACCATGTCTAAGAGTAACGAGTAATACGAAGGATATGATACAGTATTGTCACTTGCCCGCTTCAACAACTGGTGGAGAACGAGTTTGGCACCGCGCCAAACGCAGCCGCACTGACACGCCCAACCGTCCGCAGCGAACTACACTATACCTGGTTACAGATTGGTTATCCACCACATAAACGATTATTATTCCTCGGTGACTACGTGGACAGAGGAGATTACAGCTTGGAAACTATTACCATGTTACTCGCGTTCAAGGTACGCCAACTATACCAGAACAGTTGTCTACCGATAGGATAGACATCGCTTCCTGATTGCAGTTACGATTCCCCAAAGAGGTCTATTTACTTCGCGGAAATCACGAAACCAGATGTGTGAACAGACAGTATGGTTTTTTTGACGAATGCAAGAAGAAATTCCCACGAAAAGGTCTGTGTGCTCATGTATGTCGCCGCAGTGGGTCTAGAGCGTGTGAACGTAGGCTCTAATCCACGCGCGGCTGCGTTGAGGCT